TAATTACCATATGAATCAATACAAAAATAGTAGCACATGCTTACAATTAAGCATGTGTTTAAGCAATTAAGCAATTAAGCAATTAAGCAAGCTCCACTTTTGTGGAATCAGCTTCCAGTTTGTGTTCGGACGGCAGACACCCTATCCGTTTTTAAGAGTGCGCTTAAGACCTTCCTTTTTGATAAAGCTTATAGTTAGGGCTGATTAGATTCAGCCCCTAGTTTTGCTGTATAGGCTTAGTTTGTCGGGGGACATCTTACTTCTTCCTTCTCTCTGTCTATACCTGTGTACTCTCATGTTCCGATTAACCCAGCTTCCCCAAATTTCTTTCTTTTTGGTGTCTATATACGCCGGGATCCGGAGTCATGGATGATCCTGCGGTCCTGTGTCATGGATCGCAAGTCCTGGATCTTGAGTCGTGGCTGTGGTCCTGGATCATAAGTCCTGGATGGATATCTTCGTGGATTCATCTTCCTATTATACACACATGCATTTCCAAACATTTGGACTACCTATGTTGCAAATGTATTATCTTTTCAATTTACACACGGAATCTATTGCACATCTGTCCGTCCTGGGAGAGGGATCCCTCCTCTGTTGCTCTCCCTGAGGTTTCTCCCATTTTTCCCTTTAAACTGTGGATTTTTCTCCGGAAGTTTTTCCTTGCACGATGTGAGGGTCTAAGGACAGAGGGTGTCGTATTGTCATACTGATATTTTGTACAAACTGTGAAGTCCACTGAGACAAATGTAACATTTGTGATATTGGGCTATATAAATAAACATAGATTGATTGATTGAATTTAAAGTTCCAACGTATTGGTGCTAACAGAGAAAAGTGCTGGTTTGTATACACTCAATCGCAGCTTGCCACACACAGGAGGAGGAGCTATGGACTTAACTAAGGGGGAGTATTTTTCCCTTTTCTTTTTAGGATGTTGACAACATGAAGTAGGTCATTTTTGTATTTGACAAATCCCAAAATAAGTTTTGATAAAAAAAAGAGTAACATGCGGTACAGCCTTAGATCTTTATAATAAATCCAGGTGGGAAGTTTGGAAATAAGATAAAGTATCTCATCCAGAGCTTGAAGTTTGAATGACTTTCTTCCAGATCAACACACCCCTCCGGCTCCAGGCCTATTATATAATTCCAGTCAAGTCTACTACAATCCAGCTGAAATTGAACTCAGATATATGCTAGTGCACATGTCCCTAGTGTGAACTTGACACAGCAGAGTTATTATTGCTACTGAGGTTAAAGTCATGGGCAGTTGGCCAAAGGATATCCATCCCAATTCACCAGGCTGATAGAAGTGTAGAATAAATGATAAGCTAGGGATTGTGGGATCCGCACGTTGGCAAGAGTGCTTGTCAAATATAGTCTGTATGATTGTTTTAAGTAGTAGACCGAATGGCTTAATGGGGATAAATCTAATTTGTGGTGCTCCGTCAAGCACATAGAGAAGGAGATACCCAACGTTCCTTCTATTTCTCTCAGATCATTAATTTCTCTTTCGGTCATGGTAGGAGTGGTTTATTGCTCCCTAGGTCCTCACTTCCTCCTCAGGCTTCCTCAGGTTGGCAGACAAATATTCACATTCTTGCTTGAAGTGGCATGCTGTTGCTGAAATGTAGGTTACTCAAATGCTAAAATGTGGCTACACAACATGAATTTGAATCCTTATTTGTATATTGGACCGATTATCTAAAAGCAGTGTCTTTACCGCTGAGATTTTTATTGATTTGTTCAAATCATTATGTATCATGCATGTATATTTTTTTAGATTTTTTCCATGTTGTAAAAGTAGCATTATGTATTATTAGTGTCCCTTAGGTCATGGATTCTTATCTAAAGAATATCTTTTGTTTTGTTCACATATTTATTTTAGTTTTGTTTCCAATGGTATCTTATTGAAATTGAACATGATGAAATGTTTCAAGTTGAATACAGTGTAAGCTGATAACATCATTACCTGGTGGTGTCACCTTCTCGTACTTATCTTCTGAGCTTGTCATATTACAGTGGAAGTATACCTCCATGAAAGACTATTACGGGCACACTTCCTGAATCTTTAATTCTCCGGCAGCAGCTCCATCTTGGAGTGACCTTTCAAAGATGACACACAGCGTCATATGTTAGTGCCTGACTGCTATAATGTCCTGTGACTTCCTTTATTTATATATCAGTCAGGACATGAACAGATATTATACAATAACACAAGTTGAAAATCGTCGAGAACAATTTAATGTTCAATTTGGCCCCCTTTGTGAGAATCAAGAGGAGGCGCTGTGTCCTGCATCACTTGTAAAGTCTTGTTTGGTTTTTAGTATGTATGCATGAGGTAGAGGGTTGGCTTTGGCAGGTGTTGAATGAATATATCATGTGTGTTGGCTGGTACTAAATTAAACACCTTCAAAGTCTGGACTACATTGTGAGTTATTTAAAGAATTTGGCAGTTCAGGCTGTGCTAGATCTATTACTTGATGCTTATCCTTCCCCAGGTATGTGGACGGAGAGGGAAGAGCAGAATTATTCTTAACCTGCCCGACTTCATTTACATACATTTCTCAATGAGAGGGATTAGAACTCGGTGCTCTTACTACAAGCAGTTGTACGAACTGTCCTTGAACTATAATCAAAGCAAATTTGGACCTGTGTGTGTGTGTGTGTGTGTGTGTGTGTGTGTGTGTGTGTGTGTGTGTGTGTGATCTAGTTGAAGGATTTCAGTGTGTAAATGCACTCAAATGTGTGGTGATCCGGGGCCTTTAAGAGGAATGTTGTTACCCATTAACCTTCTCTTAAAAAAAAACCTGAAAACAAGAAAGGTGGGACACCGAGTGCATGGCTGCTGGTTCTCAGCAAACAGGCAGGGTCCACACAGGGATGTGAGGATATATGATCACAGCAGTGGAATACGTTTGGAGGGTTGTTATTCCTGTATCTTTAGAGTAAGAGTGCAATAAGAGCCTGAGTCCTCCTAAAGGGCAACAAAAAGTCAGATGGCAGCAGAATAACCTGATACCTTACAGCCCTCAAGCAATCTATATATTCTCCCTTTCTTTCTCTTTCACTTTGTATCACACATTTCTTTCTTCAAATTGAGTTTCTCTTCTTCCAGCCTCTCCTTTTACAAGATGTTGAGTCATAAGGGAGCTGTATGCCATCGATTCACTTGTTCTTATTATAGATGGCATCCTGGAAACAAATGAATCCAAACAGGCTGGCCCCACCTGTCCTCTGCTCGACTCTGAACAGCTGACTATATGTAGATACAGGGCTGCATCAGTGGATAGATTACTCCATTAAAGGATACTTTCATAATAAATATTATAGTGTGGGGCCTATAATGATATATATCTCACACAGGTGCTTTAAAACGGTCTGTGCTTAAAAAAGGCTGTTACCACATTTCTGTTGTAAATTGAACATAATCTAATCAAAACAGGTAAGCAAGATTCACATAATAATCTACCACAAGCATCATCAAATGCTATTCGTAGAGACTGTATTTGGTACTTTGATAACTTTTCCTACAAACTACTGCAGTGTGATGAATGTTCATGCACTAAGAGGTATGCTGGGTGATAAATGTGAACTGTGAAAGCACTTTCATGACTTGTGTGACTGATTCCACTCACGTTACGGCTAAATGTAGAAAAATGCACAGCAGACTGTGAATTTGTTGATCATGGGTGATTTTTAATTACAGCAGTTTTCACAGGAGCTGCAGAAATGTTCACAACCTTTGAAATCACATTGAGCAAAGACCATGTAAAAGTGCTGTGTAACAGAGAGACAAACACACAGTCTAGTAATCATCTTTCTGGAAATATAAATCAGTCAAAACCATGAGATAAAAAAAATATTCACAAGCAAAATCAGAACCTTAAAGCATTGAGTTTAGCTTACAGCAGTGACACCAGTCACACAGAAAGAGTGTATTCATTTTATGATTCAAATAAAAAAGTGCTTTGATTTCCATTTTTAGTGCAAAAGTCATTAAGAATATAACTAAAAAAAGTGTTTCGCCTTTGGACTTAAATTCTCGAACCATGGCGGTAAACAGACAGAGGCTGACACGTTATAAAAAGCCTGTTGGCACGGTAACCCACTGCTGAGCACCCCCATTGTACCTTAATGTTTCAACAAAAATAGGCTTTGTCGTTTGAAATATGAAGCAAACATTCCCAGAATCCAGCAGCAGCTGAGTTAAAATATTAAATAGTCACAAAACATTTACCTAATAAAACAAGTCTCTCTGAAATGTTTATTTAAATATGAAAAAGTCCCTGCAGATTCCCTTATGCCCTGTGTGTGTCCCTGAGGTTATTTCAAAGACGCTTTTTGTAAAGTTTGTCATGTATTGTATAACCACTGCAGCCACTTTGCTTATCCACCCATACAGTAAAACTGGAATGAAAATACCAGAGTTGACAAATATAGATCCACACACCAAATAGCTCCATTAGACGGACTCTATCGTGTACCATTTAACGTTCTGAGCACCAGGCTCTCCCTCTGACTTCTGATCTGTTTCAACTTTGCTGTCTTGATTGGATTGTTTTTAAAAACGTGTAAAAAGGTAAATTCACATTTATTTTCAGTCTTTTCATCGGAGTGACAATGTGCCACATCTGTGCGGGAGTGCCCCATGTGTCTTCAGTTTGCGATGACGCAGTTCAGTCTCCAGTCCATATGCCGTCCTCTCAGGTGAATTTCATCTGGGCCCGGGGGATAGGGTTCATGATTAAGTGGTCGCTGGAAATAGAGAAATTGAGAGCACTCAAAGGCAGGATAGCACGATCAAATTAATGTGGTTTTTGCACAACACGTGATTATGTGTGTTAGTTGGCAGATACTTCTTTTGTTAATGGTACTTACTCGAAGGCATCAGAGTACTTCATCCTCCTGTAGTACTTGGCTAGTTTCATAGAAAAGATGATGCCTGGGATGAAGAAGATCATGCACCAGCCCAAACTGAACCAGAACGCATTCTAAGGAGGAAGAGAGAAATCGTTCAATAAAAATCAATCAATAAGTGATGAGGATTGATGTGGAGCTAACATGTGATCCTCACCAGAGAATCCACAAGGTGAGAGCAGAGGATATTATCCACAGAGTCCACAGCTCCTGCCACCGGCCCACAGCGGCCCACCTGCTGTGTGATCTGAGGGGGATTACACAGATCAGTGACAAACAAACAAACATCACACACTTAACTTGCTTTGAGTGCATTTACAGTTATAGTGTAAAGATATGTAACACAGTTTACCGTGAGATTGGCCCAGTCAGCATAAACAGTGAAGTAACCCAGCTGACAGTCGAGAAACTTTCTGCTCTCCTGGAACGGTGAGAGAAAAAGAGAGTAAATTCCTCACATGTTCTCCCTGCTTTACAGTGGGAGGTCATGAGGAATCAGTGGCACGCCTGGCCTCCTCAGCATGTGGAATTCTGGGTAAATTCTCCGAAGTGACCCGTAAATAACTTCAATGGCAGTGTGAGCAGTGAAGGCATGGCAATTATTTAACCATTATTTATGGAGCACATTTAATACACAGAAGGAATTCAAACTGCTTTAAAGTATGCATTTAAATATTAAAAGATAAGTCTGGTGGTATTATTTATTTTTGTTACTGACAAGAAATCCCATAAAAAGATCAAAACAACAAATGTGTCACACTCGTGCAGTGTAGAAATACAATGCTGCACAGATTTGGAGTCAATGCGTCACATGACATGGAAGCTATTCAAATAAATCAAGACGTTTTAGGAGATAACTTAATTTTAAGTACAGTATCAATATAAAGTAAAATAAGTCGTACAATCCAATAAAATAGGTGTGTCTTACTTTTCCAGTATAGCAATAATAACTATATCTGGTTTGTATTAGGAGGAAACTGGTCACATGATATGGAAGCTATAAATTAGACATTTTTATGAGAGACTTTGATCAAATAAATATAAAATGTATATTTATATTTATAAAATAAATTTTCATAGCAATATTCATATAAAAAGTAATAAATACAATGACAAGAGGTGTCCAGTGTAGTAATACAATGATGCACTGATTTGGAGTCACTGGGTCACATGACGTGGAAGATAGGGAAAATAAAATGAAATGTTCTACACACATATTTCTGTGACATCCATCTATGAAACATCCGTAAACGAAAGAGTTGTGCCACGTATGGCAATTGTTTCAGATATTTTAGTATCATTTTCCATTAAATGAACAAGTTAGCTCGAAAAAAGAACCAGTTTTTAGTTGCTAAAAAGCTTGCATAAGTAAAATTGAAGACTCAAACAATTGTCAAGTAATTTGTTTCATGTACTCTGGATGTGGAACCAACAAGCACATTGTTTCAGTTACCAGCAGCCCACACCCCCCTCGCCCCCCTCTGGCTTAATGACTGACCCACCTCAGGCATTAACAGACCACATGCAGCACTTTTTCTTCGAAACTCATGTGACTCGTGCCTCTACTCACGGTCCTGACGATCTGTGTTGTATTTGTGTTGAGGAAGTCTTGTGCTGTTCCCACGTTGCTCAGCACCTCCCCCACTGTTCCCTGGAAGAGCCAAGGAGGAGAAAATAAGCCACAGGAAGAAAGAGAGGAAAATAGCTTTGGTCTATGCACTCCCAGGTGTTATTCAGTCTACTTACATTGATTTGATCTGCGATGGATCTAAAGCTCTTGATGGTCGAGTTAAGGTTTTCCTGAGGGCGAAAGCAGTAGATGTTTAAACTAGGAAAGAAAAACAGAATACAGGGATGTGGAGATGGGGCAGGATACTCACCAGTTGTGGGATGATGATTGTTTCTATGTCTGCCTGGATCTGCTTCAGGTCCCTGGCCTCATTTATAAGCTCTTTTCTTATTCCATTGTTTGACTAGAAACATGCAAATAGTTGGATATTAGAACACAACTGGCAGGACAAAAACTGGATTCAATCAGGAATCATGTGATGCACACATATATAGCACAGAAATGCATTGATTTAATATACATGTGACTCACTTGAGAAGCAGCGAGAAAACCCAATCTATCTGCTGTGGTATTCAGATTGATGCTGGAAACGTTGTTCATCTAGGAGAGAGACAAGCGATGAGGAGGTCATAACTACATGTTACACAAGGATGCATTTAATGACAGGAGGTTTACAAAAAGATACATGAGTAATGGTTACCTTCTCCGTGACAGCAGTGGAGTCAAGATTTGAAGCCTTGTTGGAGAAGCTGCTGAGTTGTTTCTGTAATTCGGGGCTCAGGAGAGTGACACTGGGCAGAGTGATGACTGTACTCTCAAACTCCTGCTGGATCTGCGCTGTGTACTGAGTGCAAATGACAAACACATTTTAACTTATGTCTGATAAAGTTGATGTAAGTTTGAGCATTTTGATTTGTGAACAGTTTGAAAGGAATGACAGGAAACTTACTTTTGATACATTGAGTAAGTCATCAAGGTTTATGAGCTCATACAAGTGGAGTGTTGTCCACAGAGGCTGGTTTTGCTTACAGTCTCTGTAAACAGTGAGTCCAAATTATTTGTACAGCATTTAATCACAGTTACAACTGAAGGGCTTTATGAACCCTGGTAACTTAAGAACCACAGATACAGATAACTAAATAAACAAACATAACAACTATCTGTGTATTTCATCTCACAAAGGCAATAAACTCGATGAGATAAGCCTGTCAGTCAAATTCAAAAAAGATTGCCTCACTATCATAAAATCGATTTTCCTTGTCGAGAAAACTGTTAAATATCCGTAAAATATGGAGATTTCCTGTCTTTCTCTGATTGATATAATATTTTACAGAAAATATCTAGCTTTTGACCAAAAAACAAGACATTTAAAGAAATCACCTTGGACTTTGATTTAAAGTGATTGACAATTTTCCCTTTTTTCTGACATTTTATAGACCAATGGATTCATCCAAATATAATAAATAATAGCTTCAGATCTACAGGTGTATTTCTTTCTGTGTGAGAGGTGAATTGACAGCACATACCTATAGATATCAGGGATAGTGATGTTGGTTTTCAATCCCAAAGATTGCCTTAAATCGAACCCTGGAATAATACCTGGAGTAGCCAAAAGCTGTGGAGAGAGAAGGCAGAGTATTAACTCAAAGATGTCTAACAGAGTGACTGTGGTTTGTGTTTGTGATGCGTACAGATACCGGTGTATGTATTTTTGTATCACTACCTCTAGCAGCTGTCCGTTGTTCCAGGGCCGACAGATGAGGGTGTAGAGGTTCCCGCCCAGCAGGAACAGCAGCGTCACCACTATCATGAACAGCCAGGAGAAGAGGAAGCTGAAACCTGCACCCCTGAAACCAACACAGGACGAAAGGAGGGGAATCCGTTGTAATGTTCCCCTCTTCATACGAGCATATGAGACTCAAAATTAAACTGATAGCAGCACTCACATCATGAGGAAGGTGCCTCCACAATCCGCGGTGCAGGAGCGCTCAGTGGGGTCGTCTTTGGGTGACAAACCCAGGGGGGCCAGCACCAGACCCAGCAGGTAACACACCACCACCAGGAGAACAGCACAGCACAGGGACACAGACACTGCCCATCTGGAGAATAACAATAAAGCTTTATTTATATGGCACTTTTCATACAACACATGCAGCTCAAAGTGCTTTACAAAATGACACATCACAAGTGAAAAATAAACAACAAGAAATTCCCCTCAGATTATTTGTTAAGAACTTTACAGATACATGCAGCAAAATATTACATTTTAACAGGTTAAGAGACACAAGGAGGTAAAAGATATGATAATAAAAAATGAAATTAAAATAAAATAAATAATGAGTACTCTACAACAGATAAGACACAAGACAACTGAATCGATGCAACAATATAAAATATAAAACCCCATAAAACAAACTAAGTGAGCATATAGGTACAACAGAAAGAAAAAGAAAAAGACAATAGTTATAAAAATGCCATAATTCTAATAATGGTTAAACGATTCAAATATAATAAACACATTAGGATAGATGTTTGGGGCTTTTCTTGCATTTGATCACATGTGTTGGCAGGCCCCAGGCTTCTTACCTTATTTCCTCGACTCTCTCGATCTGTGGCGTGTACTTGAACATTTGGCTCTGCACCTGGTCCAGAGAACCCATCAGGCCCGTCAGAGAGGATAAAGGGATGTCATTGGTGACCTGTGAGATCTGCGTTTTTATGTTGCCCAACAACTGCTTGCTGCCTAAAACCACACCCACACACACACACACACACACACACACACACACACACACACACACACACACACACACACGTTTAAAAAAAATGCTCTTATCTTACAGTTAATTCAAACTAATATTAAGAGAGAAGTAAAGGCCTGAAGTGTGTGACAGTATGTGCACACTCACTTTGAACTATACCCTTGGTCTCATTAGTCACCCACCGGGGGATGCTGTCGAAATAATCCTCCATCTGAAAGGAAGTGCAGTTTCTTTCATTATATCCAATAAAAACCATATAGAGTTGAGAATGAATTGTGTCTTAGTTCTTTTGAATGAAAAAGTAGCTTTGTTTTTGTCAGCCTATTATTTAATAGCTTCACTTTAAAGTGTCCCTTAACAGTTATTACATTATTGTCATTTGAATTGATTGATGATTATTACCATATTTGTGTTTATTCAAAATGTCACTGACCTCCTTGATTTTGGATGGGAGATTAGTTTTATTGACTTCATCCATTGCAGACTCGAACTCACTCAAGCTGGGAATCTGTGGAGAACACCAGAGGGAGAAACATGCAACCATAATCACGTAATAACATGTTATACTTTAAACTGACAGATGGGGGCAGCAGACTTCAGCAACACAAGCATTACCAGGTTTTCATAGACGTTAATCAAGAGCAAGCGTAACACAATATAATGAGGATGGATTGTATTTATACTTGTGTCAATGCACTATTCTTGTCGTAAGGATGGAGATGACATATTTGACTGTAGATTCCATCAAAAAGAGCTAAAGAAAAGACGTGAGAGGAGAGGAGAGTCTGTATGTGTCAGAATTGGTGGAGTGTAGGAGGAATAGAGAATAACAGATGGGAGGAGAAGAAATCAGCTGTTCTGACAAAGCCAAACATGAAGAGCTATTATGATTTGTCACCCTGTCTCAGCCTGCGTCAGAGCTTGTTTGACTGCATAAATGATTCTTCCTGTTTTCTCATGGTGGTGTATGGTCAAACACAGTAACAACACTGATTCTCAATCTGTACGGAAGTCAAACCTAACTCCTCTTTTGCTTAAGACTTGATCTGAGGATTCTATTAAAAGAAAAGAAAACAGGAATATTCCCCGACAAACTAAGATACACAAAATGAGTGCTTACAGTGATGGAGGTATCCAGGGTTAGTTTCTCTAGCTCAGGCTTCAGGTTGATACAGTGAACGCAGCTTGCATTGGATATAGTCTGAAGCATGCGATCTTTAATGGCATTGAAGTTGTCCTGGAGGCGCTCCATGCTGGACTGCAGCTGGGTCAAAGACGAGTTCAGCTGGCTCAGTGCAAGACTGGTGTTAACAGTTTCTGCTCACACAAATGAAAAGCACACAGATGTTATCCAGGGTATGCACAAGTCATTGTTGCTACCTTGCTTTCACAAGTGCTTTAAAAAGGTTAAAATTAATGGAAGATTCGAGAAAAAACTTGATTGTTCGGTGAGATATTATCCAGCTGCTCTAAGTGACAGTTAAATATTCTTCAAAGTCAATCAATTATGGATCAGCACTTGCTTCCACACATATCCATGAGTACAGCATATACAGCTAAAATACAATTACATTAGGCAGGAAGCCATCTTTGGTCTTCTTATCACTCTAAACAAGTGCAAATACATTTGTATTGTATCAAAAATAGAAATGACAGCCATGTTGAAAGTTAATTCACATTTTTTACATAAAATAAAAGGAAAATACCTAAGAGACATGATGTGAGATTACATCTGTTCAATCCTTGGCTTTAAGGAACCAATGGTTTTGCCACATTTTTGAACATTCATTTGTTCTTTTTGAAGATGTCCAACAATCTGTCAATATCGCTTTCACAGATTTGTTTAGGATAATATGCAACATATATAGCAGTAACACAAATAAAGCCGAAATAGATTGTCATTCCTAAAACCAGCATGTGCTTTCAATCTTGGGCCAAAACACAATGATTAAACACTTTTCTTGAATTCATTCATTTGCAGCTATCTGTTGATAGGGAGCAAATGTCATGAGGTTTATTATTTGTATTTTAGGGAGCCTGAAATACTGTTGAAAATGTACTCTACGCAATCACTAACTCACACAAGGCTTTATCAAACGCTACAATGTCATGGTAGGAGGTGAAATCCAAAAGGCAGTTAAAGATCTCCCTTCAAATATGCACACATGCATTAACATGCTCAGTCTGAGACAGGGCAGAGCATGCAGGGAGAGCATACCTTGATCCAGCAGTCTAACAGAACTCAGCCCTGGGTCCAGGGTTCCTCTGAACTGCGCCTTGATCTCTTTTCCCAACTGAGGTCCAATGGCTAATTCATACAGACACACAGGTGCGAGATGGTTGGTTACACATTGATAACAGACACTGTATCACAGCTGTTACAGTGAACAACAAAGTGGTTCCTCTATTTTTACATTGTTAGTTCCCTTCTTACCATCCAGGTTTATGCTAACCTCCTCAACAGTTCTGTAGCTCTCATTCACCACCTTTTCGATTTGCTGGATATTGGTAGAGGGAAAACCAAGTATTTCAAAGTAAGATATACGTGGTGAAATATAGCAAACAATGTCACTGACTGATTGCACAAGCCCATCACACATAGCAGCTTTTCTTCAAATGAAGAAGAACAAACAAAACTAGCCTGCATTTCCCTCAAACCTTTTTTTCCTTTCTCTTGTATCTTGAGATAAGAGTATTGACACTGCAGAGTGCTGAGCTGGCCCTGAATCATAGGACTGACTGGGGAATTTGGAGGTCTGTTTGCATCTCACACAATAGCTGTCGGGTGCAGGGCATGACTTTTGTATATTTCCATACCAAGCTGTTAAATCAACAAGAGGTTTTTCTCTTACCTGAGGCACAGACGTGAGGTAGGAATGGATGTTGTTTATAGATTTGTTGAGCTCCACTTGACTCTGGTCCACGCTCACTTTGATGTCTGAGTTACTCATGAACATGCAAACGTTCCCAGCACTGCAAATATGCACAGACAAACACACACACATTGTGTCATGAACACAATCCAAGGGAGACATATACAGGGAGTTAGGGGCGCCGTAAGGGGGTGAAAAGTTAGGACGATTCTAAGGGCCCGTGACTGACAGGGGCCCCAAACATTTTCAGAAGTTTGCTAGAGGGAAGCTAGGAGAGAGCTAGCGGGAGACGTGACGGAGAGTAAGAATAGGACAGGGTTAGTGTATTGTTTTGGCGTGGTTACGGCCAACAGTAACCTGTGATCTGAATAATAAACTCCCGGATAAAGGACAAACTAAGCCTCCCTGTGTTCCTGTAGCGAGACGCTACATTTGGTGTCAGAAGTAAAAGTTCAACTCGGATTAACGGCATTAGCGGCGTGCTACAGTGATTGCTGCCATACAGCCTACAGTTTCCATCTCGGTGAGAACATGTCGCTGTGGGACTACTAAAATTAAACGGGAGGAGGAAGCTGGCGAGCGGCAACACTTCGGCGCTGCTGAGGGTCGGGGGAACGGACAGCCACAGAGAGCGGGTGAAAGAAATGACCATGAGAATGGCAGCTGAGGCTGGTTTCGACCGCTCCAGCTAGTCCCCCGATAGAGACGCCACACGCGGAACAGAGACAAAGAGGGCAGGCATGAGTAAATACACTGAGCAGCTCAGGGAAGCCCTCCCCTCATCTATGAAAACCCCCAGGTATGATGGCAAAGCTAACTGGGAAGCATTCCAGGCACAATTTGAATTGCTAGCCAAGGCTGGCAGGTGGTTTGCTGAAGAAAAGGCCCTCCAGCTCGCAATGTGCCTTACAGGGGATGCTTTAACCAGCCTGCTGCTACTTAACCCTGATGATAGGAGTGACTATGATGCTTTGGTGGGAGCTTTAAAGAGGCGCTTTGGACTATGCTCTGCAGCTAGCCTGCTCTGCTCTGAACTGTGTAGCCGCAAGCGTCGGCCTGGGGAGCCGCTGAGGGAGCTCGCCAACGACATTGAGGGGCTGGTTCACCAGCCCTCCTGTTATCCAGAGTGAGTTAGCCCGGGACTACTTCCTCCAGGGCCTACTACCAGCCGACCTGCGTACACAGACTTTGCTCGCCCACCCCAAGTCTCTACAGGAGGCTTTGGAGCTAGCCACAGAGAGAGAGATGCTATGTACTGCTTCATGGAGTGCGGATGACCACACACCGAAGGTGAGCGCCGCATGTGGTATTGAGCTGAATAGAGCAGAGCCGGCCTGGGTGGAAAAATTGACAAAGCTTGTGCGTGCCATCACGCTGAGAGAGGAGCAGTCTCCGAGACCCCGCCAGAGGATCTACTGGGGGTGTGGACAGCCTGGCCATCTGGTTCGAGATTGCCCTCGCAGCACAGCTAACCAGGGAATCGGGGCCGGGTCTGCATAACCGGGACAATGCGGACCCCTGATGATGTGTCCCATCCCTCTTCAAATGAGGAAACATTGCAGCGCATTAAAGCAGAAGTGTTACAACCAACAGAAGAGGCTGGTGGCCAGCCTGAGCGAATCATCAGGCTGGGCCGAACCTGGGT